TTCTGAAAAATAATGCCAGGAAAACTGCAAGGCGGTTGCTAAGAGTCAAAAATGACTTGAGAGTGCATGCATATACACATACAAACACAAAACCCAAACCCTAAAAAATCAAGTTGTTATTTGGTGGGATGCTTACTCATTGATCTTAAATGGCTTCTGGGGATTGAATCACTTTTTAGCATCTTTGACAGGTCCATGATTCCCTAATGAATAGGCATAGTTTGCTTTAAAAATAAGTGCACCTGGTCATTTCTACTTGGAAGAACTACTGTGTGTGATACTGCAGAAAGCCACTGCAGATAATTTCTCTTGCTGTAATCAGAGGGCTGCTTTGATCCTCAGTGCCCTTTGGAGTTTTGTTCTTAAATGATTCTTTTCCTCCCATTTATAGCTATGACTTTAGATCACATGAAGGCATTTTTTTCAAATGCCTTTGTAGGTGATGTTGAACAGGTGCTAGTAATGAAAAGTTCCTTTTGATATAGACTTCTCTGTTGTGGAATTTTATTTATTTACTTATTTGATTTTTATCCTGCCTTTATTATTTTCATAATTAAATCTAGGACATCTCCAAGGAAAGATTTCTGACCTTTCCTCCCTGGTTGTCTTTTCAGTGCCATCAAATTAATTTAATTTTCCAAGAATTAATTTTATCTCTTCAGTTTTGTTTGTCATATATGTGGGATTTAATGTTGCATCTCATTTTACATCATCATATAATCATCATCTTGTGATGATGGTGGCCACATAGCCAGCTAGATGTTTAGATTGGATTTGGCATTATTGTCCACCTTTCGAGCCCTTCCCAAGGAATTGAGATAGGCAGGTGTTGTTGTTTAATAATATTAAACATATTATCCCAGGATGTAAGCTGTTCCAAGTAAAATTGCCTTTTGTAATTGACTGGTGGGAATTTTGTCAATGCCAGTGGTGTTCAAGTGGTGCTCCAGATGTTGTGGGATTGCACCCAAAGTACCTATTGCTATTAGTACTATCTTTGCTTTTTCTTGCTGCAGTCATTTTATTTGCAGATCTTTGTATTTTGTGATTTTTCTCAAGATTTTCTTTTCTTTTTTTTTTTTCTTCTGTTCTGCTGTCTTTCGGTGCTCCAGCATACACCATCCAGACTATTTGTCTTTCTTTTCAACAATTGTTAAGTCTGGGGTGTTATTATTATTACCATATGAATTTATTTTGTGCTGTCAAATCATTGTCAACTCCTGGCAACTGCCTAGACAAGTCCCTGCAATTTCCTTAGCAAGAATTTTCAGAAGTGGTTCGTCATTGCCTGCTTCCTAGGGCTGAGAGAAAAGGATTAGCTCAAAGTCACCCAGCTGGCTTCATGTCTCAGGCAACACTAGAACTCATGGTCTCCCAGTTGCTAGCTTGAAGAACACCAAGATATTTGTACTGATCTTCTATATCCACGCTGTTGATGTTATTTCCATAGGACATCGAATTCTTTCTGTTTTCACCATTTTCCTCTATTGAGGAAATCAATAGAGTCCAAAATCCACTGTGGTATATTGGCTATATATTTGGACATTTTATATTTGGCTATATATTTGGATATTTTAAGCAGCAATTCAGTTTCAGATACTGTTTTTCCAAACAACTTCGGATCTTCTGTGTAAAGGAGGGGAGATAGCTGCCCTAGCAGATGTTTGATAGCCAGGTCTTGAATTGTTCAGTATTGTTGACAGAGGAATCAGTATAACTACAAACAATAGTGATGATAGTGAGCCTTTTTAAAAATTTCCTTTATTGATGTTAACCTCTCCCACAGGGTGGATTTGATTTAAATCGAGTTGATTTAAATCACAATTTAAATCATGATTTAAATCACTAGTAAAAAGGCTTGATTTAAATCAACTCGATTTAAATCATAATTTTTAAAGAGCAACTGTCATCTCTGCTACTCCTTTGACCCAGTGTTGACTCACCGATAGTCCCACTGTTGCAGAATATACAGCCTCATGCTACATAACTAAGCTCCATTTCATGCTGAATAAACTAAATTATTTGTATCTTAAATAGAAAACTATCTTACGATAGATTTTTATCCCAAAAGTTTTTTATTAAAATAAATTCGATAAAAATCAAAAAAATCAGATTTAAATTAAAAAAAATCCGATTACATAAAAAAAGTCTGATTTTTTTTGATTTTTTTTAAAAAAAGATTGATTTTTATGCTCTCCCAGTCTATCACCATTGATCAGCAACTGTGTCTTCCATGGTGCTATTGATCTTTGCACAAAGCTTCTGATGTTTCTGCTGACTCCTGTTAACTTCTAAACATGTGATTATCCAGTCATGTGGCAGGGAGTTGATTGTCTATTGAATCAATCCTAGCTACATTTAAGTTGGTCTTCCTTCTGTTAAAGTTTTCCAAAATCATTCTGTCGATTAGGAGCTGATCTTTTGTCCCTCTGCTGTTTGGGCTTAGCTGCACAAAAAACTGCATTGTTTCTTCTTTATCTGGTGTTGGTTGATTTATTGCACTCTCTCTGTTGTTGAATTAGTAGACACATTTTTGATTCAACTGAAATTGGAGATTCTGCCTGTACTGTGCAATCTGCTGATTTTCTTGGCTATGGCTGTTATTTGCTGCTTTATTATTTCTGGAGCTCCCTTGATCTTGCTTGTCTCTAGGTGATATTTCTTGATTGGATAATCTTTGGTCCTCGTATTCTTCAGCTTTTCTTTCATCTGTTCCAGCTTGCTTGCATATGACCTTAGCATGTTGATCATATTTTCCAACCTGATCTTTTGGTAGTGTGCTGTTTGATTTTTTCCCCTGTTTTTGATTTTGCATCCAAAGTATTCAGTTATTTTTAATTTAATTTTTTTTTAATTTTTATTTATTTTTATATGCCGCCCTTCTCCGGAGACTCAGGGCGGCTTACAATGCGTTAAGCAATAGCCTTCATACTTTTGTATATTTTATACAAAGTCAGCTTATTGCCCCCACAAACCGGGTCCTCATTTTACCCACCTTAGAAAGGATGGAAGGCTGAGTCGACCTTGAGCCTGGTGAGAATTGAACTCGCAGTAATTGCAGGCAGCTGGATGTTAAATGCTGCCTTAGTAGGAGGCATTAGCCTCCTACGCCACTCAGGTGTAGTTATAACTGTGGTCATGCTATTACATTAGTTGGCTTGTTTCTTGCAATGTGCTGATGCCTTTATTTAATACTACAGTACAGGTAGTCCTGGACTTACAACAGTTCACTTAGTGACCATTTGAACATACACCAGCACTGAAAAAAATGACTTATTACCATTTTTCACACTTATTACCGTTGAAGTATCCCCATGGTCATATGATTTACATTTGGATGCTTGACAACTGACTCACATTTATGATGGTTGCAGGGTCCCGGGGTTACAAGCAAAGTCAAAGGGGAAACCAGATTTGCTTAACAACTATGTTACTAACTCAACAACTGCAATGATTCACTTAACAAATATGGCAAGAAAAGTCGTAAAATAGGGCAAAACTCATTTAATAAATTTCCCACTTAGCAACATAAATTTCGGGCTCAATTGTGCTCTTAAGTTGTGGACTACCTGTATGAGCTTTTTTTTAATAGTTGTAGGAGCTGCTTTGTGTGTGTGTGTGTGTGTGTGTGTGTGTGTGTGTGTAACAAGCTTCAGTGCAAGCAGATTTTGTTATTTTTGTACTGTTCTAGATGCTAAGTTATTCTTTGTTTCACTTCCTGTGATTATTATTACTGTTAAATTCATTGCACAATCATCTTTTTAGTGTAATAGCATATACAATGAGTTATCATATAGCTCTTAACTTCACAGGTCAATCTGAAGAGTTTTAAGTAACATGCAACAAACTAAAGCCATTTTGACATAGTGGTTAAAGCACAAGGCTAGAAACCAGGAAATTGACAATGCCAGTACCACAAAGCCAGCTGGGTGGCTTTGGCCTAGTCACTTTCTCTAAGCCCCCCCCCCTCCCCACAACAGAGTAAAAATGGAGAATAAAAACAGAAAAGAAATTCAACTAATATTCAACCAATTCACCACAGGTGGCAGCTAGAAACATTTCTGCTCTCTACATGGGGCTCCCCTTGAAGAGCACTCGGAGGCTCCAACTGGTCCAGAATGCGGCCACGCGGGTAATTATGGGTGCAACTCATTGCGCCCATGTAACACCTCTCCTGCGCGAGCTGCACTGGCTCCCAGTGGTCTTCCGGGTGCGATTCAAGGTGTTGGTTACCACCTTTAAAGCGCTCCATGGCTCAGAACCCGGGTACTTACGAGATCACCTTCTGCCACTGGTAGCCTCCCACCAACCAGTTCACTCCCACAGAGAGGACTCCTCAGGGTGCCGTCGGCCAAATTATGTCGGCTGGCGACATCCAGGGGGAGAGCCTTCTCTGTGGGAGCACCTGCTCTTTGGAATGAACTGCCCCCGGACATACGCAAGATCTCTGACCTCCGAGTTTTCCGCTGTGCTCTTAAGACCTTGCTTTTCCGACAGGCAGGGCTAGCTTCATAATTGAGTTTTAAATTCGGAGTTCTTAATTTTTTTGGCTTTTTTAGCTAATTTTGGCCTTAAATGTAATACTTTTAAGAATTTTTAAATTTAAATTGTGATATTTGTATTGTGTTTTACCTGGCTGTACACCGCCCCGAGTCCCTTGGGAGAGGGGCGGTATAGAAATAAAATTATCCTTATCCTTATCCTTATTATTTAATCCTGATTAAAAGCATGGCAAAACAGCAGCATTGTTTTAACAGGTTTATGAGATACCAGAAGGGAGGTTTGAAAGTGGTTGAGTATTTTAACTTTTGGAGCTTACTCTTTGATTCCTCTTGCTTTTGGAGATCCTCAGCAGAAATTCTGCCTCCACTGCTACTTGTCAATCTTTTAAAGTGCTTGGCCATGACTATGCTTTTTTTTAGGCTTGCTATTTCTGTTTGGCAAGTGGCTGGTGGTACAGTATAGTAATTCTGCGTGCATACATCTCTGGTTCATTTCAGCCTGAAAAGATGATGGCCAAACAAATGGAGTTCCTTTGCAACCAAGCTGGCTTGGAAAGACGACTGTCTACAGGTCTTTACAGGCAAAGTTCAGAAGAAAGCAGTCCCAATGGACTGACGCCAGACCCTCTGGATGGACAAGGTACCTGTTGCTTTTCCAGGCACATATTTGCCATAATACATTTCTTTTACAATTAGCATTTTGAGGTCGATGCGGTAGTGATACTATTACTATTATTATGGTTGATTGAAGAGTTAATTCGATGTTTAGAGTGGCTTTGGCATTTTTATTCACCTGTCAAGTCCTTCCCAAGGACCTGGGGTTGGCAGATGTTATTTGATGATGTGAAAGATATTGTCCCAGGATGTAAACTGCTCCAAGTAAAGCTGCCTTTTGCAATTAATTGATAATGATTTTTGTCAATGCCAATGAATGGTATTCAAGTAGTGCTCCAGATGTTTTGTGCTTATTACTATTGGTGCTATTATTATTATTATCCCACCTTTTTATTTATAATTCAAGACAGCAGACATGCCTAATATTCCTACCTCCTATTTTTTCCCACAATAACATCCCTGTGTTATATCATACAGTATAGAAATACCTCTACATATAGAATGGAATTTGCTGAGGTTTAAAGAGTGCCTCAGAGGGCACAAATGATTTTCCAATGTCCAATCTTTGCCTTAGGAAAAACAAATTGTCTGAACTTTATGATTTAATTTATTCAATATGCTCTAGAGGCAAAGTAATCACAATTGTTCCTATTTTGTGTGTTTATACCAGGGGTGGGTTCTAAAATTTTTTACTACCAGTTCTGTGGGTGTGGCTTATTTTGTGGGCATGGCTTGATGGTCATGTGACAATTCTTTAATATTTAGCAGAGATACTGGTCTACCAGGCTTTTAACTGCTTGCTTGAACCGGTCTACTTATTTGTTTTTGGAGGCACCAGTCTACTCATTTGTTTTTGGAGGCACCGGTCTACTACCAGATTGCCTTTTAACACTGATTAGCTGTAGGGCGGCCCTTTGAAGCCCCGCGGCAAGAGTTTAAACAGTTTTTTTTCCTTCTAGCCAATCAGCTGGGACTCAGGAGGCAGCAATAGATTGGGGGTGGGGCTAAATAAAAGGTAAGAATAACTTGGGGGGGGCGAGAGGGGGGCAGAACTGGTTCGGTGACATCATATCGTCACCGCTACCGCCTTGGCGGAACCGGGCCGAACCCGGGAGGAACCCAATACACACATCTTACTCCCACGTGCTTCAGGTGATTTCTGGATCCCATGCTTTTGATGACCATGGAATCAAGAAATGGTTGAAAATGTGGTTTGGATGAAAGGCTTATATTGTGAAGAAGCAAGCAGAAAATAATGACATGTGCAAATAACATCCATGTGATGCTATTTACAATGGGCTTGTTTCTTGGAAAGTAGAGTTGTTCCATTTCTGTTATAACAATCACGTGGATTACACCTGTGCTTATGTCTTTTAGGGGAAAGGCCTTTAAATCTCCGTATATCAAGTCTATCAAACAGACACCTGCCACACATTTCATTAGATGGAGAAGCTCCTGGAGTGAAACCCCTTTGCAGTGATCTGAGCCGACAATATGTTGGTAGTGAGGCAAAATCACAATTGCCAGGTAAGGATTTTTCCCTTCACGCTGTATCTTGAATATTCTGGAAAACGTATGTTAAAAATAGCCTATAATTAATTAATCTATAAATAGGCAGATTTGTTTGGATTGGGACTGCAACTCCCATAATGCCATCCATGATGGTGAGAGAGGTCTCTTTCCGACAATCTTGTGTAGCTTAATGAAGTTTTGTTCCTGCTTGATAACTACCTAAGTAATATCATATCCACTGATACTTAGCATGCTCAGAGTCAGCCTTTTAACAGGAAAATGTGTGGAATTCCAGAACTATAAGATTCCATCCCATACTTGCATCAGTAGCTCCACTGGAAGGGAAGGCATATTACAACTGACATTCTCACTATTCAGCAGGTTTGTTTTAAGTAAATGTTGGCAGGTGAAGAAAAGCATTTCAAAGGCTTAAATATAAGAGCTACTGTATGCTCAGTATCAGATGACCATGTTATCTGAATTTAGAAGGAAGTGTCCCTGAGTTCCTTTATGCCCAGTAGGCAGCTGTGCTAGACAATATAGTGTATATATTTTGTTAATTGACAGACGTTCTTTGCCAATGTTAGCAAATAGTTACCCATATCTGCTGGTGCTTCATGCCTTAAAATCCAATATCAATGCTACTGTTTTCAAAATATTGCCTTTTCTAGCATTACATGCATTGAAAATGCACTCGCAAAATAACTTGAAAGTTAGAACCAGCAAGACAGGGTTAGTTACTCTTAATGGAGAGTAGAAAGATTGACTTTATTCTGAATAGTTGTTAAAATTTTGCTACAATCGATGCCTTTGGAGCTCGACTTAGAGCTCAGAAAACTTGGCTTATAGCATTATTTTTATCTTGGCTTCAGATTATAGTGGCTTTAATATTTTTAATATGGTTATATTGTATTTGTTTTTTATTTGCAATTTGCTTGTTGCATTTTGGTGGTGGTTGTTAGCTGCCCAGATTCATATATGTGAGATGGGAAATTATAAATTGAATGGATAAATAAATAAATAAAAATTGTTGTTTTTTATACAAAGTGAGCCAATTTAAGATGCCTTTGGTTTTGAAGGAATCTGGAGCTATCATCTTTAAATCTCACTATCATTGTAATCTTTCCAACCATTTAAGACCCCAAGTTAGAGTTTGGATGTTCGCAGTTTTCACTACCAGGACTTCTTCCTCCAAAGACCTAAGCCTAAGTTTTGAGGGTCACTGATTCTAAGAATGTGCTGTGACCCTTTTGATCATAGAGGTGTCTGCTCCTTTTCCCTCATAGTATCTTCACCATGGTGGTTTTAATATGCTTCCATTTTCCGCTACTACAGTGTAGTAAGTAAGATGCTACCATGATTTTATGTTCTAGACATTGGTTACATTGTCCATTTGTACTGCTTTTCAAAAATACTAATTTTCTTTTTGTTGTTATTGCAGAAGGTCTTGGTATTTTGAAAGATTTTCCTCACTCGGCTTTCAACAACTTTGATCGGAAGGTCATAAAAACCGAGCCAGAAGATACAAGATAGACCTTCTGCTGTTGGAAAAGAGTTCTTTCCAAATAAAGCTTTGAATGGAAAACAAATCAAGCCTTAATAACCAGCGTTGCCTCATTGAAAAAAAGGGATTTCATAGCCAAAGCCTAAGAACTGGAATAGTCGTAAGTGAGGAGCTGAGAGACAAGCGAAACTGCAGCACAAGCAGTGGGTGCAAACATGAGATAAGGGATCTCTAAGTGGAAAAGGCTCACAAAGTAATACTGTGGGGCCTTATTATTTAAGAATGTATTATACGTTTGAGTAACGTAATGTTTTTAAACAAGTGTCACAATATGTATTATGTCGAGTAAAGGTGGTTGCCATTATTTTTACTTGAAATGTCAGTATCTACTTTCAATAGTTACAAGTTCAATTTTTTTTAAAAAAATCAACCTTTGGGTCATGGGTAGAGAAAGGTGCGGGGAGGGAATATAGTGTAAAACACTTAAACCGCAGGTTCGACGTGTTTATTTTTTAAAGTAAAAAAAAAAGCAATTCCATAAAATGTTATAGGAATATAGCATTTAAAAGAGCTGACTGTATTATAACAGGCATTTTTATGCTCGGTGTGTAACATTCTCAGAGATTTCAGGAATGTCTATCTGTAACGTATTTATTTACACTGTATGCTTGTCTGCTATTTAGGGAGACGAAGAAACACAATATTGTTTCATTCTATAAATTAAGCAGGGAAGGAAGAAATAAGCAAACAAAAAATCATCCCATGGAAATTACTTGAGTAGACATTCAGATTAAGACTGGCAGAGCACTTCAAATGTTGTCACCAGTTTTCGTACATTCCTTAATTTTTTTTTCTTTTTAAAAGTTGGAATACTTCCAATAAATATAATGTCAGAAAAGCAACCCAATAAAACTACATGCCGTGCAATAATCAGTAAAAGAGGAATAGTGCATAGATCAGTGATGGCTAACCTTTTTCTGGACCAAGTGTTCAAAGTGCACATGCGCGCAAATGCATGCACACGAACCCCCAAAATGCAATGCGTGAACGGTCTTCTGCACGCACCCTACACCCCCCATGCATGCGCAGCAGAGACCCAAAGACCAGCTGGGTGGCGGGAGGCGCGCATGCATGTGTGGCGAAACTGAACCTGGCCGACGGCTCGCACACCCACAGAGAGGGCACTGTGTGCCACCTCTGGCATGCATGCCATAGGTTCGCCATCACGGGGATAGATATTCAACTAGTAGAAGAGGATATAGGATCAACTTTACCAATCCTGTTGATTTCATTCATATATCATATCCTGCCTATCACAAACAGATATATTTTGTTTTGAATGAATGAAGAATTGGGGTAATTATTTATTTAAGGTGGGCTTCATTTGTATGAATGATGGTGCCCCATTTGGTTTACAGTAATGAAGAGACATCCATTTCTATTCCAGGCTCCTGCACATTAAATATGCTACCAGTAGGACATCTGGATTTGCAAAAGAAGATCTCTCTATTCAGGACACATAAATTCTGTAGTTATATTAATGCAATTAAATAAGATTTTGTTCAATCATCCCCAACTTAATGTGTGATAGCAGTCACAATCCAGTATTTCTGGGAGGCACGGAGTTGGAAAGATTACTTAGGTTTATAAAAAGCTGACTTTGCCTACAGTGGATTTGTTATGCAAAGGGGTGTTGATGGTTGGTCATGGAAGTGCCACATATTCTTGTTAATCTTCCAAATGCAATATTGCTCCTGATATGCGAAGATTGTGATCTACATATTAGCAATTACAGAATCATTCCACATACCATTTTGAAGCTGTTAATATTGTGTGAGGTGAACCTTGTCATTCTTCAATTGGGCTCAATGTAAAACATGTTTTTGTAATTATCTACTTTGATTTGTAGGGAAAGGCTTCATGGTAGAAAAATCAGCACACATTCCTATTTTGCAGCAAGAAAACTTTTTTTTTAAGCAAATGTTTTTTGAATTGCGTTGCACCATTTGATAACAAAATATATTCCAATAAGAATGTGCATTTAATAGATCAAAACACTACATTTGACTTCAGATGGCCAGTTTCATCATTGCGTGAATTAATAACATTAATATATGTCCATGTTTCCAAATGTACTCAATATTAGTGATATCACAAGGTATAGCAGTAATAACAGGAGAAAAAGCACATGTAACTATCAATAGGACATTTGTTCAATAAAAGCCAATATAATGTGATGTAATAGAGAACTTTCTTTATAGTTGTATTGACCTAATGTAGTTATGATATAAAAAATGAGGTATTTGCTTTTTTTAACAGTTGAGCAAATCATTTCATGCCCCAAATACAGATTGTTTGCTTTGCGTTTTTTGTTTTTTTAAAATTTGCAGTATATTGAATAGAGCCATGTTTATTTCTATGAAAGCAGGCCTAAGAAGCTTAATATGGTAACTGTGTTCACACATTGTTTTACATTATTACATGATGTAATAAATAAATAAGCATTATTGCTTATTTACAGTAGTGGCCAAAATTGTGGAAACCTTTTGGGAAAAGTGTATTTTTGAGGTTTGATGGTTAATAACGCTACTTTTTTGGGGAGTAGTACCATAAAATTATATATCAGTGGAAAGATAATTTAATCAAGAATGTAATGCAACAAAGTTTGTTCAATTATCTGTATTCTATGAAAAGTTATAGCCAAATAACCAGAAAAAGGAAGCACAACTTGCTTAGGTTGATATCAGGTAGCTTTCCTTCATCTGATTGTAGCCAATGAGCATGAATGTTTAGAGAGCCAATCAGGTGTCATCTTGTTTTGGCAATGAGTCAATCAGATCACAGTAGGATTCAGTTATTGATGTCATGTATTGAAACTGAGAGGAGGACAATTGTCAGTGTGTTATGTGATTGCTATCAAGTTGGTTGGATTTTTTTGTGTTCTTTCATTTAGTGAGCTTGTAAAATGTAATAAAATTAAAGTAATGATGCAAAGAGTTGACTGGTCGCCCAGAAAGCGATGTAAAACAGTATTTTTAAGTTAACAAGGCTACAGTTATAAAGAAATTAGAAGAAAAATTGGTGGAAACTTAACCAAAGATGGCATTTCTAAGTTTTTGAAAAGGTATAAGGAGACTCAGTCACTATAAAATCACACTGGTAAAGGCAGGAAAAGGTGCACAACAGCAAGTCATGATAGAAGAATTAAGAGACTGCCTATGCGACAGAAGAAAATAATATGGGTATATACAAGATGAAATGGCGCAATGCAATATGAAGGCTATTGCTTAACGCATTGTAAGCCGCCCTGAATCTCCAGAGAAGGGTGGCATATAAATCAAATTAAAAAAAAAAAAGTTGAGTGCAAGGACTGTTCGCACAGACTGCAGGAATTTGACCTAAAATTTAGAATTCCACAAAAAAGCCACTTTTATCTCTCAAACAAAAGTTTGAGCATTACATTCTTGATTAAATTATCTTTCCATTGATATATAATTTTATGATACTACTCCCCAAAAAAGTAGTGTTATAACCATCAAACCTTAAAAATACACTTTTCCCAAAAGGTTTCCACAATTTTGGCCACTACTGTATGTCTTTGTATGGTCTATGAGAACAGCCATTGTACTTTGTAACCGTAGATAAATGGCTAAGTGTGATCTGTGAAACCAGACATTTGTAGTTTATTCAACCAAACATAGCTAACAATATTGTGGATTAGTGCAATGTAGGAATCCAACACTCAACTCTTTACTATTTGATGTATACTATTATAGAAATAAGAATTTGATTAAAATACTCAGAACCCTCCACTCAAGTCTATAAAGTCAGAAAGCACATGGAAACCTGTTTGCAAGCTCACTTCCCTCAACCCCAAATTTATCTTCCAGGAAGAAGTGTGTGTTATAAATTCAACCTACACTTTTCTAAATGCATATATGAAAAGACTCTGAATCAGCCTTCCCCAACCTAATGCCTTCCAGATGAGTCGGACTAAAGTTATTTTTCCACCTGAACAAGCTGATTGGAGGTGATGAGAATGATAATCCCGCCTTCTAGAAGCCACTTGATTGTATTTTTTTTCCCCAAAAAAACACTTTCACCCTTTGAAGCCAGTTGATAGGTTCTTTGTAGAAATTAAAAATGAAGAGATCAGTTGATGGCAATAGAGCCAAATGTCTTGTTTTTAAACTTTTTGATGGTGGTGGTGATGGTCGTAGTGGTAATGGTGTAGTATTAAAGAGATCTGGGGGAGTGGGGTAAAAGAAGTGTGATCTATGTTTGTCTGCATTTGTATTCTTGTTTTCTGAATTTTTTTGTGCCTTGTTGATTATAAAATAAAAATTGCTTTGGTGAATTTTTTTCCTTGTCTATTCTTTTTTTTTTTTTAATGGTTAAACAAACCAATTAGCACATGTTTCAGGAATTGCAGATTATCATAGAACACAATCGATGTCCTTCATCAAACAGCAGAGTTTTCAACACTATTTCATGGGGGTGCTTATTTAAATTGCCAAATGATTCCCCCCACCCCCACCCCGAATAGGAATTTGTTTACAATATCCAGATTGCTGAATCTTGGAAGTTCCGTTTTCTGGTAAATGGAACTGTTTGTTTCAATATTGGTATTATAATGCAGCTTCGATGAATGAAGCAGAAAAATTAAGAACAGATTACTAGATTTCCCTATCTGTCTCGTAATATGCACATATATACACCTGCATTTCCAATATCCAGTCCACAATTGTTTTTTAATCGTAGCCTGAATTAATGAAAACTTCTATAAAGTATTTGATAGGTATAATTTAAATTATTGGCTTTTTAATATGGATACAACTATACTTTAAATAGCCATTGCTTGATTTACAGCAAACTCATTTAGCTTTAAATACACATTTCACTAACAAAAGGTTTCCTAAAAACCATTTTCCAACATTACGGATTAGTTTGTATAGCTTTTATTAGATAATGTTCTTTCTAGAAAATCCAGGATCATGTCTGCAGAAATGAACACATTCCAATTTGATTTAAATTTTCTTTATTACTTTAAAGTTATTCTGATCTTTCATAATTCATTAAAAATTCTTAACTCTTACTTGGCATTTTTGTCTGGTCAATGAGCATGCATTTCTAACAGCCTGTACTTTCTCATTCAATACTTTTAAAAAACAATTTTACAGGTGTGTATGAAAGACTAAAAAATAACATAATTAGGGAACTGGCGCTTCAGAAGTTGGTGAACTATAATTCTGCAGCCTCAGGAACACATTGCCAATGGTGAGGAATGGTGTGGATTGTCTTATCAGCAACATCTCGTATGCAAGGCAGAGATATGCAGCAGCTCCAATAGTTTCATCAAAATGTTGAGAGGCCAGGGCAATACAAACTTCATTCCTTTCATGCATGTGCAACATCACAAAGTGTCCAAACGGCAGAGTTTGTCTTATGAGACTGATGTAGCTTTTGTTATCTGCTCCCCTTTGATCCACCCATAGATTTCTGCAGTGCCAGGTTCCCTAATTCCAGATACTGCTACAATTATACTTACTAGCATTTTATGGAATTGTCCATACAGCTACCTTAAGACATTTTGGCATCCAACTAAGGGATAGACAGTCAAATATTCTCAAGAAAAGCATCTCCTGAGGCCAGAATCTCAGTTTATAGGAGGCAAGCGTAGCATATCTACTGATCTCAGCTTCCTATCATTCCAAATATATGTCGTTTGAGGAAGCTGCCTTACACTGCTTGATTATTACTGCTCTTGGACTGCTGCAACATACTACATGGGGCTGCCCTTAAAGACCACATTACAGGTAGTCCTTGACTTGTGACTGGTCACTTAGCAACTCTTCAAATTCATAATGGACCTACCTTGGGGCTCCTTATGACCCATATTCAAAGTTCCAATGGTCGAGTCCCCATGGTCACCTGACTGAACTCCAGGTGCTTGGCCCCACGACAGCATTTATGGCCATTTGCAGTGTCCCACATCATATGACCGACTTGTTTTACAACCATCACAATTTAACAACCATGATCAGCAGGCTCCATTATGGATCTAAATCGAGGACTACCTATAGTCCTGAACGTGGGAGCAGGCACAGTCAAGGGTGTCAATGTTATGCCCCTGTTGTGTGAGCTGCACTGGCTCTCGGTTCCCTCCTGGGCGCAATTCAAGATACTGGTTAAAGCCCTATATGACAAAAGGCCAGATTACGTGTGGGATTGCGTTTCCCTTAAGGACATCTGCCCATCCTACCAGATTGGATAAGGCACCAGAGATGGGTTTCAGCAGGTTCTGACCAGTTCTGGAGAACCGGTAGCGGAAATTTGAGTAGTTCGGAGAATCTGTAGTAAAAATTCTGACTGGCCCCGCCCCCATTTATTCTCTGCCTCCCAAGTTCCAGCTGATCGGGAGGAAATGGGGATTTTGCACTATCCTTCCCCTGCCATGCCCACCAAGCCACACCCACCAAGCCATGCCAGGCTCACCAAGCCACTCCCACAGAATCAGTAGTAAAAATTTTTGAAACCCACCACTGATGGGCACAATCTTAGTTCCCTCCTTTAAATGCTGACATCTTATGGGACCTAGAAAGCATGTCTTTACTGTGGCAGCCCTGCCCTATGATCACTCTTCTCCCTGATACTTCGCACATACACACCTTTAACTTTCTAAAAAGCTCTTAAGATATGGCTCCCCTCTCAAGCACTGGGTTAGGGTGAGATTAATGAGATGAACTTGTTGTGGGTTGTATGGTGAAAGTAGTTATGGTGTCACATATTTTGTTATGATTTGGTTTTGGTTTTAATATTTGTGATTTTAATATTTTTTATTTTAAAATTTTAAAATTGTAGATAGATGCCTTATATTTTGGTTTGGTACTTAATGGGCAGCTATATGAATATAATTAATTAATTAATTAATTAACCTCTGGTTGGAGGAAAAATAGTACCTACATTTATGGTTTCTGGAAATCCCTTAGAGACCTTTTGCATGAAACAGAAAAAAGGCACATGCTTTGATGATTAGGAAAAAATATCCCCGAGTAATAGAAAAAAGTGAAGCTTTTTTTCCCTGTAATCATAGAATAAGAGATAATTTTAAATTGTGCTTATATTTGCTGCAAAGCTGTTTATTAATTTGTGATAGCTTTTATGTGCTTTGTAAAACTTTAATAAAAATTATTTTAAAAATAAGTATCATTTTTATATTGCTTATTTATTTAAATTTATTAGTTGCCCAATGGATTCTAGAGGGCCTGTAATGTTATGGCCAACAAAGGTAGTGATTAAGAAAAGGAAGTTAAAATCACCATGAAGGCCTTATAAGGCCTAAGCATCTGCTCTCTCCAAGCCTCAGTTCCTTGGCTGCAAGATGGAGATAATAATCTTTAGATCCACATTATGAACCTTTTGTATGGCCTGTTGAAATAGTTCAATAAGAAAAATGTTCCAGCCATTCAAAATACTCAGCAAAAGTATTAGTAGATTGAGAATTGCTCACTTTCTATAGCCCAGTATCTGAGCTAGGCTGTAAACCAAAGCCAATTTAACCAACCAAACTCAACATTCAAACTTTTTTCTCAAGTCACTAATTGAATTGTGGTGGCTGATATAAAACATTTATTTCTTAGACTATTATGTCTTCAAAATGTATGTTTTAATTTTCTTAAGTAATGCAATTTCAGAGAAGCTTCGTTCTTTTTTCTACTTAAAAAATTAGAGATAATTGCCTCACTGAAAGAATGTGGTGAGGGAGAGAGAAGATGTACTCAGAAACTATTTTTCTCCCTTTTCTTCAGCAAAAGCCATCATTTTAGTAGTAAATGGTCAGCTTTCCAAATCTCTCAACTTTGCCACTTCAGGAAGTCAGAGAAATTTTGGTTTTTTTAAAAAATGCAAGGAATTCTACAGTACTGTATTCTCAAAGGCTTTTTGGACTTCACACTCAGAAGACCTCCCAACAATTAGCACTGAAGCATCCAAGGCAAGTTGAGTAAATATGTGCATCATATTGACACATTTAAAAATCCTGCAATGACTCATTTATATTCCTTGAAAAAGTGTACACTTCTTACGTTTGGAGTTTTAACTGCTTCAGAAATGCCATGTTACACCCACGGGTTCCTAGGAAGGCAGGCCCAGTCTTGCATTCTTTCTTTGTATTGTCCCAACTGAATGCTCACTCAGGAATAAGTGCGTAGGACCAAGCTGAGTAATAGGCTTGTAGGCGGAATCTCACTGCTACCCACCATTGATTTGTGGGGCCACACGTAGCTGCTAACCACAATAAAACTAAGCAAGTTTAACCATAGGAAGAGGTGCGATGCTTTTGTCAATCTGTTTCTGCTGCAATCACAATTGCACTAGGGACCATGTCCAACATGTTGGCAATAGTGATGGGAATTGCAATCCAACATTATTAAAGGTTGGGTTGCGGCAGAATCTCCTTAATGGATTTGTACATTGTGTTCCATTTACCAGTTAATATGTGGACATTAAGTCACAAAGCAAGCTTCAGCTCAGCAACACAACACAACCATAACTACATCTGGGGCTGAATTTTGGATGGGCTGCCACCTTGAAACTAACAAAAAAAAGGAGGTGAAATAATACTATTATGATCTGTAGTAGAATACAGAAGTAGTGGGGTAGTATTTGATTGGTGGATTATTTTGTCCAGTCTGATCCCAAGTTCTGAAATAATTGACATTGTCTCTTTGCTGAATTCAAGTTTCTCAGACTTTTGCCTTTAAACTCTATAAAAGAAGTGTAGAATGAGAAGCATTTCAAGAAGGAAGAGTTTGCAGTGGGAAAACAACAGGCATGGAAGGGACTAAAAAACCCTGGAGAAATCCCCAGAACTTTAGAATAAAATGAAAACAAATTTAAAATATTTTTCACTTTCACAAAGCTTTGTACAACAACGCCAATAGTTCACAAGATTTCACACAAGAACCACAAAATCTTGTGAAATGTGATAACCTTGTAAATTATGACTACATGCACAGACATAAATTATAACCATGGTGCCATTAAAAAAAATAGCGTCTGGTGTCTGAAAAGACGCCTGGCCCTGGGTTAATCCAGCGTGTGATAATGCATTGCACCATGCATTCATATAATATGATAATAAATTCATTGGTCATAGCTTTTCTGTTATCTCTGTTGTCTGTCAACATCTTATAAAGAAAACCTGATTATGTCCTTTGTTACGCTTATGCAAAAAAGATACTTTGCAGCAGTGGTGGAATTCAAATTTTTTTATTAACGGTTCTGTGGGCGTGGCTTGGTGGGCATGGCAGGGGAAGAATACTGCAAAATCCCCATTCCCTCCCCACTCTTGGGGGA